TTCAAACATAAATCTTCCAGGATGAAGTCTTTCCCCCCCCCCCCCCTCCCCCCCCACCAGACAAAAACATTTGCCATCAGAGACTCTGATATATTCATGGTCTCTCTTAAAGACAGTAAAAAGTAGCTACCCTAACAGATTGTATTGGATAACTCTTCATTTTTTTTTGCTGCAACGTGTTTTGTAGTTCTGTGTTTTCAAGCATTGAGCTAACAGCCTTTGTCCTAACATTAGCGATATTCTAGTTAATGATAGCACGGTCACAAAAACAGTTTAGCTCATTATTGAACTTTTGGATGATCAATTTGCTTAAGTGAAAATACAAGTCATAAAAGGGAAAGCAGTGTTGACTTAATAAGGTTCTCCTATTACAAAGTTTAAAACTACTGCTTTAAAGATAAGCCTTTCATTTAGTGCTAGTATTAAGAAGTGATCACTGATTGCATCCTGTGATCTTGTTTGATTTCATGTTCAGTCATTTTTAAAAGGCAATAATTCTGTTCAAAATTTCATTTGGTTTGTAATTAATTATTCTTCTTAGGGATCTTAATGGAAATAATATCACAAGAATCACCAAGACTGACTTTGCTGGTCTAAGACACCTTCGAGTCCTGTAAGTTCTTATTCTACCCTTTAACATTATGTGGCTTAGTTTACATTTTATAAGCTACAAAAAGTTATCCTTTAGTTTAAAAAAGTCCTACGTTCTGCCACAGCAAACTCCTGTTCTACTGTATCTGGACTTAAAGTGCATAAGGGGTAGGAAATAACTCTAAGTCTTAAAAATGGTATAGCAGCATCTTTACCTCTAGTTACTTGTGATTCCTTAAAATTATATATAGGGTAAAATAAGATGAAACTTAAAAAAACCCCCAGTAATAGGTAGAAAATCAAAAAGGAAAATTTTAGTTTTGCACTGAGTTAACCAAAACTCATCTGAGGGGGATTGCTGATTTTTATAAGATATAATTTTCTACCTTAAAACTGGCATAAAATGAAATTAGAAAGGAAGAAAAATAGGAAGTATTTCTGCTGGCTTTACTGAAAATGTCTATATCAGAAACTTTTTTTATATTTTATATAAAGCTCCCTTACAAAGAGAGAAATTAAAACTATTTTTTTGCATAAATAAAAAGTTGGTATTTAACTTTTGCTAGGTACACATTTAAGCTTAAAGGATATTACTGCTGTATTGTGGGTTTTTTCTTTTAGTGAAGCTAAATGATTTTTTTGGATTGACCTTCTAAAAAGTTAAACTCTAAAATTCTTCTAAGCCAGAAAATAATTGTAACTATTTTATGCCATGAGCATATCAAAATCAAACTATATTACATGATACTTTTTTTTAATTCTCACGTTAGAGTAATGTATCCTAATTTGCTTCTCAGATTGGATAGTAGATTCATCATGTTACATACTGACATGGAGTTTTGTGACATTACTGCTTACTGTGTGGTTTCTTTCTGTCTTTCCCTTTAAAGTTCTTGAGCATGTTCAAGGTTTACTTTTATTTCTTCTAATGAGGAAAATACTTTTTTCCTTTTGTGGACATGTATCCCAGTAGATTGTTAGGTGACAGAGGTCCAAAACATAATGTGAAATCTCACTCTGAGTAAGAATTGTAGTGTTAGTAAAGGTGAGATGGTTTCAAGCTGCCAGTTGCTGTAATAGCAGGTGTTAATGCAACCAGTAATCATACAGCCATTAAAACTCACTATCTGTAATATTCTGCATTTCAGTCAGCTCATGGAGAACAAGATTAGTACTATTGAAAGGGGAGCATTCCAAGATCTAAAAGAGCTGGAGAGGCTGTAAGTATTTATTTTTAATTATAAATGTATGGCAACATAACAATTTTTTTTGTCATTTCATTTGTTTCAAGGCACTCAGCCTTTGGGGTTTCTAGTGTTTGGGTTTTGTTCTGTTTTTTTTTAACTCAAACTCCTACTCCTTATTGAGAAACTGGCAGTAGATGGTTCTCATTTGGTATATACAGTGGGTGAAAAAATATTGGATAAATAGTCTAGATTCAAAATGTAAATTTGCACTTTTCATGAAGGATATTTCATGTATTGTTCGACCAGTTATTCTCTTAGAAATAGGACTCTTTTCATATATGAGAATATACTTCTAAAAACTTTTCTGCACTTGTGAGATGCAAGTGAGACTTCAGTCTCAGAGCTATTTAAGTGTTTGTTTAATGTGTTATGCCAGAAACGGTGTAATAATTACTAGTCACAAAGTGTTTACTATCTGTTCCATGAAATAAGGAAGGGAAAAATTCAACATGTACATTCAACTTGCATTTTTTAAAAATAAGTTGGATAAAAATTTTTTGCTGTAGCATTTTTTTTTTAATGAAAAAATAATGCTTTTTGGGTTTGGCTATCTTCTAAAGTAAGTTCTGCCATTTGTAAAGTGTGTGTGTGAAGTGTGGGGACAGGAGTCTGATTCTGAAAAAGCAAAAGCATAGGCCAAATACGTGCATTAGGGCGTGCCTTTTTAAACTTTATTAGTTTTGTACAATGTAGGCCTTTTACAGTCCTTCAGTCCAAACTATACAGGATACTGCTACTTGTATTTTGTGCGTGAAAATAGTTGTAAAAAAATGTATAGATTACGTACTGTTTAGTATTACTGAAAGAGAGCAAGATGCCTTTAACATACTACATTAATACGTGGGCCTGTATAGAATGTTTAACAACTTGCATACTAAGTCGACTATAAATATAATCATATTTTAGTAATACAACATACCAATTTATTTATTTATTTTTTTAACTTTAGTACTGTAGTATCAGGCCTTCTCTTTGTACCTTTCTCTGAAGCATGCAGTTGGGCTCAGTTTATTCTTCTTGCCCAGCATACTCCTATTCCCTGAAGTTATTCCTACTTTACAGTAGTGTGAGTGAGAAGAATCAGGCCTGTGGTGTCTTCCTAATTTATGCTTCATGCACTGCATCCACAGCTGCTGCCTGTAATTTGTCATGTGTCTACATACAGTTAGTAGAACTCTCAACTAATTAAACTGATAGTTGGCAATTCAACTTTTATGGAATATAGAAATACGTAAATTGCAAATTATGATAGAGAATGTCATTGTTTCGTTTCAAGTTGAGGAATGAGCCTTAAAAAAGAAAAAAAAAGTCCCGTTGTGTAATACAGGATCTGGAGGGTTAGTAGCCTTCTAGAATTCCTTCTTTAGTACAGTTGGGAAAAAATACACTGAACAAAAACAAAACAAAACAATCCCCCCAAAATACATGTTCCTGAACCTTGTTTTGGGAACTGTATTTCCAGCAAAATGGAAGTCTAATTCATATTGTAAAATCAAGTTATCAGGCTTTGAATATTCTGTAGCCAACAACACACCTGAAACTACCTAGATAATTTGGTAAGTATTTAGTATCTTAATCACTGTAGCTTAATATATTGTGTGAATATCCAATAGGAAGGTTCTTTCATGTACAATAAAATAGTAGTATTTCCAATAGAGTCTAAATTTTGAATTAGTGCTCTAAATGTTATTCAGCATTATGTTTTTTTTATCAGAATTTTGTACACGTTAACAAATGTATTGGCCACATTTATGTAAAAATCTAGCACACAAGTTGGTGGAGCTTTTTAACTTTTTTTCCTTTTGGTGTCTTAAACAACTCCTTTTTGTTAACATGACTATTTGGATACTTTTATTTTTTTTCAATGCTATGAACAGAAAGCACATTTAAACAGGTGCTGGTAAAAAAGGAGATGGGGGAGGGACTCAGTTTTATGACCATCTTCAACAGACAAATGGAGAACTTTATCTCATTTGGAAAACTGACCAAGAAATACCAACGTGACCTTTAAGTTTTGTACACCTACACAAACCTGAACACCAATGTTAACAAAACACCTTTAGATGGTGTTTTTTTTTTTTTAATTTGTTCTGCTGAATTCAGTTTAGGTGTTCTTAAGAAAAGGCTTGTAATTTTGAATATATATTCAGGGTCTCTTTAAATTGCCCCAGCTGTTGGCTCAGAGCAAATATTTCATATTTGTGAGGAAAAGCTGAGAAAATTCTTTTTGTTTACAACTGCCAAGTCCATCTGATGGAGGCACATTGTTATCTGACAGCCAATTCATCTCCTTGGGATTCTGGAATTCAAAACCATTTCTTAGGAAACTTGCAGATACACTCTTCAAATATTTCCTTTTTATACATTAAAAAGCAAGGATACCATGTTAAATGGAGAACGCTACATTTTTTTGGAAGTTCAGCTATTGTTAAACCACTTTTGATGCAATTCATTTGTTTAATATGGCTACCAGAAGTCCCAGAAGTAACTTGGATTTATTTTTTATTACTTAACCATACGTATTTTTTTTTTCTGTCAAATGGGTCTCTCTGTGCCTGTGTTAAGGGTTGGGAATGTTTAATGAACATTCCTATTAAGCGTCTGCATCTCCACACTCCCCACCCCCCATTCCTAAATAAGATGCAAATCTCTACAAATGTTCTTTCTGCTGAGGCTCTTGAACCTGCTACCCAGAGCTTCCATAAGTAGTCCTTTACACCAGTGATCCTCAACCAGGGAGCAAGATGCTTTGCAGGGTGCCACAGGAAATGTGTAGAGAGAACCAGATAAAGGCAGGCTCAGGCTTTAGGTATGAAGAGATAAGAGTATGTCCCTCTTGGCAGGGTGTGTGGGTGGGAGCTTCTCTGCTCATACTGCTTGGGCCCTCTGGAAAAGGGTAAGCACTGTAATAAATTAGCTCTTGAGATGGAGTGCTGCTCAATTTACAAAAATTGTGGAGGGGTGCTTCAAGTCTAATGAGGGGTGCCTTGATTCTAAAAAGGTTGAGAACCACTGCTTTACACCAAGGGCCCAAAGACTTTTATGTAGTTGACTGGGTGGGCAGGATTGTCCAAGCATTGGCTTATAGATTTAACTGTGCCAAATGCCGAGTACCCTTAACTTCAGAAGACATGAAGTGGGAGTTAAAGGTATGCAGTGCCTTGCAAGATCCCGCAGGGAGAGACCGTAAGAAAAATACACAATTTTTGAACCCCTGTTCTAAAACTAAAAGATTGAAAACTGCTAATGCTGCATAGGCATAAATTGGATCAAGTAACATCTTTTAACAATTTAACTTGCATCTAAACATAATACAGCTTTATTTAATAAGGAACACAGCAAAATTGCTGTAATGCATTATACACAAATTATATTGCATATGTAAAAACTAGTAGGATCGTATGTACTCCTTGTCAAGATAACTCTGCATGCTATGGCATTCTTGTGAAACTTGAAGACATTTATTGGTACTTTCAGCTTAAAAAAATTAAAAAGGACTGTGTACTTTATTGAAGCAAAAAAACAAAATATTACAGTCATTAATGGAGTTGTGCCTGCATTTTGTATTGCATGCATTTTAATTTATGCTATATCAACATTCTCAGTTTTCAGCTGGCTGCATATAATAGTACGGACAATACCTCACCGCATTTTAGAAGGTGGTGGAGATATTGTAGGAGTGAAAACTAGAAAGTTTAGCAATCAGGGAGGAGACATGTCCAAGCAAAGAAAGTCACCTGAACTGTTCAAGCAAACATTGTGTTCTTCTGTTTAAAAATAATCAGTAAAATTGCTAACTATGGGGGCACTTGAAACAATTATTATTAAACTTCAGTGATCATACTTATACTGGTGAATGGGACAGTTTGCACCTGTTGGCCATTTTTTTAAGGCTATGCACGAATTAGGGGAGAAATTATTGCACTTGCTAACATTTGGTTTGCATTTACAAGACTTTCTTCATAAATGTAAAGGGTAACAATGTACCTTCATTCATAATTGGGCTGCATGTGGTGAAGTTACTTGCTGTGTACCAGGGCCTAGAAAGAAAAGATGAAGTAGCCTATAACTTTTTTTCTTAACGAATAGCTGGATTGTAGAAAACAGTAACTCCCCAGAAGTATCACATTCTATTGCATAATAGTTGGGACCATGAGAGAGTCTCTCTCTTTTTTTTTT